CCTGATATATATTTGAGTTAAATTCGGCAGTCTCATAATGTATGACGTCAATATCTTTCACATTAGACGACGTTTTGGCAAATGCCAAAAAAGGACGGAAAAATTCCATGTAGTCTGCCCACTGCCATTTCTTTATGTTGCCCACTGCTTGGCCGGTCTTTGGTTTGGTAGATTTTTTATATTTTGCAAATGTGTCTCTGATATTCTTCCACCTTTTTTTTACTTCATCACCTAAAAGATTCCTTGCCACTGGTGACACCTTCTATACCATTGGGCATAGCTTTCGAGTTGGCTTTACAACAGTGAGTGCAATCGTAACCGAAGTCTGCGAAGCGATATGCAGACATATGGAACATATATATTTACCAGAACCAACAGAGAATATATGGAAAAAATGTGCTGAAGAATTTGAAAATAGATGGGGATTTCCCAATTGCATTGGCAGCGTGGACGGTAAACATGTAACAATCAAGAGACCTAACAACAGTGGCTCCAATTACTGGTGCTATTTACATAAATATTCAATAGTACTTATGGCCATTGTTGGCCCGGACTTTAAATTTATATGTGTTGATATCGGTGGTTTCGGAAAAAATAGTGATGGGGGTATTTTCGAAACCTCGAACATGGGAAAACGATTTGAACAAAATTTAATGAGTGTCCCTGCACCTAGATTTCTCCCTGGGCAAAATGAAATCTGCTCGTACGTCTTAATTGGTGATGAAGCATTTGCTTTAAAACCATACCTTATGAGACCATTTCATTATAAGCAGACTTTAACAGACGTCAGAAAAGAGAAATACAATGTAAGACTTTGTCGAGCTAGAAGGGTCATGGAAAATGCGTTTGGTATTTTGTCTCAAAAATGGTGAATATTTTACAGACCATTAGAAACTAAAGTAGATACTACTATTCTAATTGTACGTACGGCATGTGTTTTACACAATTTTTTACGAAGTAAAAGTGGCGATGACAAATATTTTCAATTCTTAGATCCCCCAGAACCCGTGCTTGGAGCTTTTACTGATATAGCAAATGATCCTCGGCGGGCAGCAAGGCTAGCATTTTCTACTCGTGACAAATTCGTAAATTATTTTAATTCTGATATGCCTATGCCCAATATATAGAATGTTCGTTTTCACATTTGTGTAGATTGTAAATTATTTAACAAGTTAATAAAAAATATTAGGTACATACCATTTGTATTTAATTCTTTTCCTATTTCCATCCAAATCTTGTCTTTCTTTCTCACATTCCTGTATTCATCGTTCGACAAATCATTCAAACAAGGATACTTTTTCACTATTTCTATCAATAATTCCGTTTTTGCCACTGCGAATTTTTGAAGAACGGCGTCAAAAACGCGGTTAAAGGCGAACTGAAATACGCCGCGATAAAAACGCTGGAACAATCGCATTCGCTTCGCACAAGTCTGAGCCTGTCCGTAAACCGCCGCGATTTAATCTGATCGCGAATTCATCGCCGCGAAATTTTCGCAGCCAAAGCGAATATTTCGCGCCGGTTTGTGGGATGCTTTAGTCTTTGAAGTCAGTGTATGTGATCAAACTTTTATCCTTTTTAAACTTTTTGTGTAGTAATTTTTTTCTTTTAATGTCTCTAATCATTTCACCGCTAAACCAAACTGGAAATTTGAGAGATTTGAGACTTGTCCTAGGGACACACATATTAAAAAATGTATGAAGAATATTATAAAATGTTTCCAAAGCTACGTTTGCATCTGTTAAATTGTCAAGAAACGTCCAATTAACCAAGCTTATTTGTTCATATAGTGCTACAAAATTGGCTTTTCTGAAATTATATGATTCTCTGGCGCATTTGATACTGTTTTTAGAATGGAAGCTCATGTTGATTATCATGACAAGCGGAGGATGGTGAACATCCTCAGGTAGTAGGTCATCATAAGCCTTAACGACGCTACATTTTTCATTTGATAACACTAAATCTAATAGCCTGTTATTTACATTCCGAACATCATTGAATTGAGAACGATCAAAGAAACCTTCTTGTAGAATGTTCCAGAATCTCCACACCCTAGGGACAAAAGAGCAGTCGTATCCGCCAGTTCTGGATGTACGAAGTTCGAAATGGTTATAATTGGGGCCCGGAGTCTGGCGGGTCTGTCTGGCAGCCACTTTGCACGGCGGCATCATGGAGCAGGACTCTGAGGATCAAAGCCCTTTGGCGTAGCGGTAGAAGAGAGCTAGATCGCCGACGGCCCGCCGGTGCGAAAGAGAAGATTTGTCGATCAGTCGGACAGCCCGCCTCTGGACAGCCCTCCTCTGGATAGCATCGAGCATGAATAATGTAGCCGTTGCGGCAGCACCCCAAACGTGTGATCAATACTCGAGGCTAGGTCTTGTATAGACTGAGAACGTCATGTGGAGAAAACTACTGCTCATCCCTAAACAAATAGCCTAGTTTTTCCCCAGCAGCTGCAGCTATTGACGAGATGTGTTCGTACCAGATCAGGTCCTCGGTGATCTGAACACCGACCAGACGAAGTGAACGGCTCTTTGGCAGAGCTCGGCCATCCATCGCAATCCATGAGCTCTAGGACGCTTTTTGTTCGTCAAGGTACAGTACTGTGTTTTGGAAGCATCAAACTGTACAAGATTGTTGCGTCCCCAAGCAGTGATAACCTCCAGGTCTCTCGTCAGAGAGGATGTCGTCGCAGGCCTTCTTTTTTCCAGCTCAGCGGCAGAGATCGGCTTGTCACTATGAATTCCTGCATGACGAGTGGATTGGGTTGATCGTGCAGGAACGGAGGTCGTTGATATGTAAGAGAAACAGTGTCGGAGCCAAGACCGATCCCTGGGGAACACCCGCGTTGACGTTGTGAGATGAAGAGGAGAACCCGTCAATTACGATGGATATCTTGCGGCCAGAGATAAAGTCAGCCACCCATCTGCAAAGCTTTTCTGGGAGGCCATAGGATAGAAGTTTGCTTAAGAGGCCAGCGTGCCATATCTGATCGAACGCTTTCGTGATGTCAAGAGCAACGACATGAGCCTCACCATAAGACTGGATGAGTTTACTCCACAATTGAGTGACGTAAGCTAGGAGGTCCCCTGTGGATCGTTGGTGCCGGAAACCATACTGCCTGTCGCTAATCAAGCCGTGACGTTCGAGGTAGTCCACAAGGTCGCGATTTATGCACCTCTCCATCACCTTACTTATAACAGAAAGCAGATCTGTCGGCCTGTAGTTGTAAGGGTCGGTCTTAGATCCTTTTTTTCAGTTTTCTTGAAAGGTGCCGGAATCATAAGATATCTGGAAGAGACGCGAAAGAACTGAAACAAGTTCCACTGCACACCTCTTCAATACAACACAAGGAATCAAGACCGGACCAGAAGCTTTGTTGATGTCGAGCGACAAGAGCACCCGTCTTACGGCTTTGTGCCTGAATGTTACTTGCCGCATAGTGTAGGGAACCCTATGAATCGACGGCACTTAGGCGTTGAGGGGGACGTCCTTGGTGGAGTTGGCAGCTAAGACCTTGTCAAGTACTTTCTCCTTAGCCTTTGAGTCGGTTACAATTGTTTCATCCTGTCACGTAAGTGATGGAAGGCTACTCTGTGAGGAGTTCCTTTCAATTTTTGGTATTGCAGACCCCTTCGTTGTGTTTAATTCTGGACTCGACGGCGACTTGCCTGTTCACTACAGTAGAGTTTTGTAAGAAGGTTCTGTGTGCTGACGAGCAGTGTCGTACGATTTGTTGTATCAGCCATTAGACCCCGGTTTAGGCATTTTCACAGCATGAGGGATGAATTCCACCACCTCAACGTGCATAATTTCAATTATCGATAAACAGACAATCTGCGCATCCCTGTCTGTGAAACAAGCATCTCTCCAAGGAAAGGTGGAGAAGAAGTTTCTGAGCCCCTCCCAGTCGGCATGTCCGTAATGCCATATTCTGCGGCCTGGGCGAGTTTCTGTTTCTACAGCGGGTTCTCTCCGAAACCTCACCTCCACAAGAACTTGGTCTAAGTTATCCAGAAGAAACAGGACTGCACTGCTTTAATGGACATGATGCGTGGTCAGAAAGAGAGCCAGCCGGCTACTTGCATTTGACAAAACGCGGGGGAAAAAAAGTAGGGCTCGTCACCAGCTGTGTCAGCCCTTGGGTAATAGCGAACGCTTCAGCTGTGCGACCTGCTGAATCGGTCTTGTTTGAGCCCATCCAGAGCTCATTACGTATATTGAAATCATCGGCGATTGATGTTCAGGAAGTCGATCTTGACAGCAAGATATTCTAGTAGGTTATACCACTTATGGTCCGAGTTAGAGCTATAAAAACAGTAAATACACTTGGGGTATGTTTGGGGTTGAGGTGAAGCCACAGAATGTCCTTCCGATCTGATTCTACAGAAACGGCTCTGGAGTCAGAAAGACTGCTGCGGACAAAAGCCACAACTCCTCCCGTTCTTTCTCTGATTGGAGTGCAGCTCGTAATTTGGGAAGCTAAGATGATTAATCGGTGCAGACTCTGAGATTTTTGTCTCCGCCAAGAAAAGCTTGGCGGGACGATCGGATGCAGGTAGTGATGAGCAGCAACAGTGTTGCTGTTAATCCCGCAGATGTTCGTGAAACAAAGTTTATCATCGATGCTGTTCCCTCGAGTCCGCCCTTCACCCGGACATTCCGAGAGTGGAGTGAGTTTGCGTCCGGAATTCTTAGTACTCGAGGGATCCATCATCATTAATTTCTGTGTTGTTAACCGATTGCGTAGCCTAGGTGTGGAAACATGTGGACATTCTTAAGACACCCTGAAAGAAGCTCGCGGGTGGTCGACTGGTCCTTGTCTACCACATTCTTTTCGCGGTAGCTCATCCGTCATCTCATCCCCTTCCGTGTCTTGAGAGTAGCGTTATGATGTTTCGCTCTTTTAGAATGTTCACGCACTCCTCTACCAGCGTAGATGCTATTTGCGACGAACTCTATAGGTAATATCACATGACGTTCTTCAAGTAATAACTTACCGCATGTCATCTGATTTGATTTGTGAAACATTGTCTCACCGAACAATCGCTTTCCATGGTCATCAAAACAGAAGCATCTGAAACATGTTATAAATTATATTACTTCTCGCCACTTAACTTAACGTAAGCTAAATTTCTCGTTCTTACTGAAGGCTAAACGACTACTTAAACTGGGACCCTTGCTATTACTTAATCAAATTACATTAATAATATATACTAACTAGTCTGAGACAGTTTGAAACATTATTATGTGTTCAGTTTGCGTGCTAACTTTATGAACAGTTCAGCGCATTTCAGTATGAAATATATTTTTATAAGCTTTAAGGCTAATATGTGACCGCGTAAAAATTTTAACACTAAAGAAGTATACACATGAGTATTTTTCCTCGCAACAAAAGGTGATAGGCGCATCCGCTTTGCTTTAAAATGTGTATACTAACGTATGTTTCTCGAATATCATAGCGAATATGATCAGTTACTTACAAATACGAAATGTTTGAATTTGTTTAGAAGAAAAAAACGTAACTCTTCGGTTTTCGCATAAAAATAACAATTATCTTTCGTAATGGCTTATGATTCATGTCGGCAAGGTAAACTCGTGTATTTTGCTATAAAACGCCCTGTATATTGCTCAATAAACTAGTAGTGATGGCCGTAAGACGGGTGTTTTGGGATAAACAATTATAAATTCTCAAAAACTACTTGACCAATCGACTCCAATTTTGTTGTGGTTATTTAGCAATAAGCAACGTTCGTATGTGAAGAATTTCAAGTAGCTGGGTGATTATCGTCGCATTAACGAGTGCCAAAACCTGCATTTTGCCTCGGTTTTCGGCCATACCTTTTTTACTATTAGTGAAATGTTATTACGTATGGTCTCATTTTGTAGGTGTCATAAATACCTAAAGATCTTATTTAAAGAGTTTTTTTGTTCCTGCCAACACTTTCGATTGCATCCCAAAAAACGCGTTTTCTCCTTCTTTATTGTGGAATAAATACTTTTCGCACAAAAATTGGTGTACCCATTTTATGCGTCCATGTTTTAAATGCCCCCTTGAACAAATTGCATCAATATAACAAGACTTTACAATTATTTCTAACACCACGGGTATTTTCGTCTAATATGATTAAACTATAGCTTAAATTGATCCAGCCATTTCAGACTCGCCTTGCATGCTAGATTTTCACTTACCTTCCATTCACTCCCCCTTTGCATTGCTTAGCTTTCCATTTTCCGTCATTCGTGCACGATGGCTTGAATACTGATGCGCTGAAGTAGGTACTTTTATAGGAATCGATATTTGACCAATAAGACATACAGCTTCCTGCAAGAATATAAAATGCATTCCCTACAGATTGATGAAAATTTACTCTTGCTGTAGTAAATTGTAAGGAGTGCTTCTAAGTATAATTCTCCATGTCTTTCGACAGTTAAATGAAACCACATATGCGAGTTTAAGTTTAACGTTTCGCCTGTTTCAAAGTACAAATCTGGTGGCCAAACCGCTAAACCACTTACGTGTTTTCTTATAACGGCAAAAAATATTGTAACCATTTATGAAGCTGCCCCTGCGTTAGGGATAGAAGATTTAGTAGCAGGTATGTAATAACAAACAAGTGCTGTCCACATGTGCGATTTGGAAAGCTTAGATTAAGAAATACAAAGAGTCATACGTCATACGTTTCGCTATAACCTTGGGGATCGATCAGGCCCAATTGTATATATCTCACTCGGCACGGGTATTACGTATCTTGAAGTGACATTATGTCGATTTTTTTGGACATTATATGAATTTTCTTTTCTTATCTCTCTCATTTTTGAGATCCGGCAAATTTGCATATGTAATTTCCAGAATGAATAAGGAAAAAGTGGATGCGCAACTAATTTCTAGCTTTGAATCTCAAGTAAGTGTATTTGAGACAAGAAACCAACGGAATTATCATTAACACATATTACTAGCACCTATGCACAGCCGCACGAATATCATGTAAAAAACCTAAAAAACGTCAAAAAACCTATAAGATGTCAACTTGCAGACTAGGTAGTTTTTAGGGCGCAAACAGTCATTCCACGTTTGCTCACTACGATCGTTGTGAACGTCCATCTGTGGAGGAATCACTCAACTAAACTACGCATTATTGGTTGCATAGTTTTGTGAGACTGAGTGATCTGGGTCTGTAGTTTTTATCTCTGAGAAAAAAGTTGGTTGAATAGCAAGATCGCATCTGGATGATTATGTGTATTGGTCTATAAAATCAGTGATATTTGCTGTGTGTCAAAATCATTACTGAGTATGCCGAATATGACGGGTTATTTATATGTTGTGCTTTCTGAAGAGAGGTTATGTTCAAAGTTATAAATTACGAAAAACAGGAGAATTACGGGAAATCATCACCGCGCCCGCGTTGTGTGTAATTACTGTTAGCATGTATATGGCTTGTAATTCGACAGTGTACAGTGAATATAATTATTTCTTATCTCTCTCATTTTTGAAATTCAGCAAATTTGTATATGTAATTTCCAGAATGGATAAGAAAAAGTGGATACGCAACTAATTTCTTGCTTTGAATCTCAATTAAGTGTATTTGAGACAAGAACCCAGTGTAATTATCATCAATACTTACAACTTACAGCTTAGACGTCCAGTAATGCCATCTCAGAAGCAGATTTTACATCACATCAGAGCTAAAGATTGATAACAAGCCTCATGACAACACGTACAACTAAGTGTTAAGTTAACATCCTGTAGAATAACCGACATAATCTCAAAAAAAAACAGCATAATGTCAAAAAAATCGGCATAATGTCACGCTAGTGCTAAGTTAACATCTTGTAGATGAACCTACATAATATCCCAAAAAACCAATATACTGTCACTTTTCAAGATACGTAATAGCCGTATTCTGTCTATTAGCTTAGGCTTAGTGCCATATCGTCAGTCGTTCCAACAACTGTAGGACTCCTTTATGGTCTCCTTAATTTTCATAGTTTTCTAAGGTTCCGTGTAAGTGCTCTATTTTGAGGTTATGTTACAAATATCTATTTGCATGCTTTTGACTTATATCATGTTATATCAGCCTGAAATTTCATACAATTCAAAAAGAACACATAGCCTTACATAGGAGAGCACTGACGCTGACACGGGCAGTAGGAATCTTAAAAGACTGTGGTATTTCTAGATTTCTACTGTTCCGTGTCAGCGCTCTCCTATGCCAAGGCTACGTTTCCTTTTTGAATTGAAGTAAAATTCAGTCTGATATAACAGACGATATAAAATCAATAGCATGACCGATTTAATGCAAATGGTTATTTGTAACATAACTTCAAAATAGAGCGCCGACACGGAATAGTAGAAAACTATGAAAATCAAGGAGGCCATAAAGGCGACTTACAATAAATTGCCTTTTCTATCCTTCAGAAAGGCTGGAATATTTCTAGAGTTGTACTATTATATTGTGAGGCTATGTTTTCTTTTTGAATAGAATTTCAGGCTATATAACAGATGATATAATTCAAAAGCTTGAATAATTTGATGCAAATGGATATTTGTAAAATAACCTCACATGAGAGCGTTGACACGGAACAGTAGAAAACTATGGAAATCAAGGAGGGCATAAAGGCGTCCTACAATTGTAGGAACGACTGACGATACGGCCCGTAGTATCTTCAGTCAGCCGTATGTAAAAGCTACTACACACAGTGCCGACGGCAATGCCGCCGGGTTTATGCCGAGCGGCAATACAAGCCGCTCAAAGCCGCCAAGCATTATTCCGGTTGTGACAGTCACATAGAACGCTAGTGAAGTGCATATTTTATGGTTGGTTGGTTAAAATGAATAAGGAAATCATCAGCACAGCCGCCGCAGTTGTAATTTTTATTTTAATAAGAAAAAAATACAAAAGGACGAGAAGGTTTTGGTTGCACCCAAGTTTACAAAATAGAAAATTGCGGAACGGTACTGTAATGATAGAAGAGTATAAAAAAGATGATGTGGGGTGTCAGCGTTTGCGCAATAGCATATTTTTTGGGTTTCTATACATCGTCTATGCCTGCACCAGATTTGTGTAACTGTTCTAACTTCTTTTTTTCCCGAAAATAATGAGAGGTTACATTTTTTAACTTTCTCTCTACTTCGCCTTTATCAATGTCAAATACACTTGCAATTATGTTCAATGCGTCCATTCGTTTGTTCCTATTCTTATAGTCTGCATTTCTGGGATTCCATAATATATCATTTTCATGAAATGTTTCAATGAAGAGCAGCACAGCTTCGTCGTCCCAATTAAACGACATTTCAATTTGTTTAAACACACAAACCGCACAACACTACCGCTCGAATGCCAGGAACGAAGTGACGCCGGCACACCCCGGCGGCAATGCCGGCGGCTCGTTTGCGCGGCAAGGCCGGCGGTTTTGTATGCCGCCGGGTGTACGGAGGCTTAGCCGGCGGCTTGCCCGGCGGCCCTGCCGCCGGCACTGTGTGTAGCAGCCTTAAGATTTAAAATATCAGCTATATTATTCAAAGCCGCCGTGAGCTATATAATTATAATGACAAAATGTCGACAATACTCTGCGTAGTACTGCCGTGAATAGAATCATCTGAGCGGTGGCTATACGCCGCTGGTTATGGATAATATCCTAAGAAGGGGCTGCAGAACAGCTCTGGTAATAAATCAGGAAGCAAGGTCAGTATCTCTTTCGGTCTCTAATGAAGAAAATTATAATTTAAAGATATATTTTCCCACCGGACTGAGCTGCAACTCCTCTTAGGTTCTTAATGAATTAATTGTCAAATGATGTGGGTGATGCCTCCGACACTCACTAAGTAGGATTGAACTTTCGTTAGTCCAGCTTAGTAATCCCTTCTAAGATTTGATATTGCTTTAGATATACTTTCCGATCAAATGTTCATTCACATAATATTCATGTATGCGATTGAAGTCAAACTGAGTCGAGATTATTGTTCATTTTATAAAGCTAATTAATATCTTCTTTACTTTATCTAGAGACTTGATTCGATACTTTAGCGCATACGAATCTAGCATTTGTGTTTTTCTCCATATTGGTTCATTGATTTTGAGATAACCTGGTGCATGTTAGGATGATTTAAGATTTTTTGACCCGAAGTCCATTTGTTTAGGCCTGACATTAGAAGTGTTACACCCAGAAACAATAATTATTTCTACAACTTGTTTTTTTGGGTCGGTCTATCTGTCGGTGTGACCGTCCTTCGGTCTGTCCGCAAATCCTTGGCCGTCTATGACTTGAAGGCTACTGCTGCAGGGTTACTACGAGCCCCTTCCCACTTCAGTTGGCCCACTTCAAGATTTGTACCAAAATATGCCTTTATAAACTAAACATGACGAAACAATTTACTTCTAAAACAATTTATTTTCTCAAAAACATTTTATATACACTCTAGTCGTAAAAAATACATATTTGAAATCACTTAGACCTATAACTAATAGAACATCTGAACAAATAAACAATTTCCGAATAAATGCGCGAAGTTAACAAAGCAACAATGGAAAGATTACCATTGGGTAACATCACCTTTATTTTTTATTACGGCTGACACTTTTTGGGGCATAGTGCTAACCAAGTTTTGGCAAAAATTTGATGTAAAACAATCCCATATTTCTTGAAGCTTTCGTCTCAGTTCGGTGATTGTACGAGCAGGATGTTGTCGTAGAACCTTTTTCATCTCGTGCCACAAAGTTCCAATAGGACTGCTAGAAACCCATTTCAAAAGTGGTACATTATTTTCTTCCATCCATTTTATAGCCTTTTTTGAGCTATGACACGCAGCACCATCTTGCTGAAATACAAAATCTTGTCCGGATGTCAAACATTCTTCCATCAATGGTAAAAGCGATTCTGCTAAAATTGCCAAATATTTATTTGTATCATTAAAATGAAGTTTTCCTACTCCTTTTGATGACATACTGACCATAATGGATGCTGGAAATTTCACTTTTCTCTTCAGACAGTCAACATGGAATGCTTCATTTTTTGCGAATAACTCTACTGCGACAGTCACCAACACAAACTTTGAATCGGGCCTCATCACTCCATTGTATTGCAGGGTTTTTACTTCACTTTTTTTATAAGAAAACTTGCCTTGCAAGTGCTAAATCCCAGTTTGGGGGCCTCTCTATGAGTTATGGACCTCGAAATTATCCTTCCAACAGCGTCACTCCACAGATCACTTAATTGTAAATAATTGGACGCCTGTTTTCACGATTATTCTTCTTAATGCTCTTCGGTCGGCATTTGTGATATTACTTTTTTTCACATATCGTGGCTTAATATTAACTGATCCAGTTACGTTATATCTTCTAACAATATTTCTCACACTGTACCGCGATAAGTCTAACGAAGTTGCAATTTCTGAGTTTGATTTCCCAGAATTAAAAAATTTAATTATCTGTAACCGAATTTTCTCACAATTTTCTCTACCCATTTTGAAAACCTTAACTACCCAAAACTATTTTAAACGTATTCTGGCAGCTGTGATTAATAAAAACAATTGTCATGGCTTTTATTTTTCATAGCCACCTATGCGCTATAGACTTATTTTGCATTGAAATGAAAATAGGTTGATATGCTGTAATTGCAACATGTGTTATTTTTATGCTGCAAATTTGATTAGGGAGTGATAAAGTTGGTGTTTTCTACTATATATTATCAAAATATTAATTGTTAATATTTTAAACCTATAACACCCTGCTACATGTTTATTATTTGTGTTTGATAAGAAAAAAACTAAGATTTCAATAGTTGGGCCAACTGAAGTGGGGAGGGGCTCGTACTATGCCACGGACGAAAAAGCGTTATAATTTTTTGAAATTATTCCAGTGGCTGTGGAGAAAAAACGAAAAAAATAAAAATCTCAAACTTCTTATTTTGATATTTCAGAGTGCCCTGTTTCATTTTTTAAACGCACCTATTAAACTTATTTCATACATCACATATTTGCCCTTAAGACCTAGAGAAATAGTTACAGAACAGTTTTCCACCACAGGTACAGAAATGAGGCTACCGTATACAGACAAGCTGCACACCGCTCAAGACTTGCAAATGTCGAGAGGTATAAGCAAACGTCTTTCTTAGGAAGTTTGGAAGAGTGCACGAGCTGCAACAATCTAATCCGGAAGTCGGAGAAGTATTCCAGATAACTGAATATGGTACCAAGCGAAAGATCTTCTATCTGGTTTCTGGTTACCAAGAAAGCTTCGTATCAGAAATCGAATTACTAGAATGTCTGGAACGCTTTGTGCTCTCTTAGAGAAGTGTTGCTTGCCAAGGACCTGAGAAAACTGGCAATACATAAGCTGGCATGTGTACTGGACAATCTGGACTGGAGAAGCATGCTTGAGGTAGTCTTCCGGTATACAGGCATTCGATTTCTGGTATGTTGTCACTGCAAGAGAGGGCCGTCATGCCGATATCGACATCCACCGCCAGTAAGATCATTCCGGGATGGAATGACTTTAGGGAGGGGGCAGTATGACGATAAATAGTACTGGTGGCGCCACCTGTTGGGCGAGTCTCCTACTCGCCAGAGCTTCATGGCCGATCTCTGCTTTTACGCGAACCACGCTTGGCTTGCCTTCTAGATCGATGCGAAGGAACCTCGACTATTCGGGAAGGCCGCTAGGTAGCTCGCGATTCTTCTAGACTCAACGGACTATATAACTCGGCGGCCAGGAGATGGAAAGGAAGTACTGAATACAGTAGAGTAGCAGAGCGGAGTGTAGTATAGTGCAATCAATGCCGACATTAGTCAGACATGAATAGTGGTGTACATAAATGTTCTATCAAGTTAAATAAATTAGTGCATTTCTTTTTGTGGAATCCAGAAAAACGCTACAACATTGATATATTAATTATTACGGCCTGAAATTCTTAGTGTTCTTGATATTGTTTGGAATTTTACGTATTCAAATATGGGGCAGTGTCACCTTCTTTTGAGCTTACTGCATACATTGATTATGATTTTGATTTTTGAGCTACCATAACTTTATTTTAGAACAAGGATAACTTTCTGAGAAAATTTCACATTGGTTAATTTTTATTTTTACTTGCATTTGCTTTACTTTTCTTGTCTTTCTCTCTCTAGGGTTTTTTTATACAGGGTGGGGCAAAAGTCACGAAGGGATTTGAAAAATTAATAACTTTTTTAAATTTATTTTGTTTTCATTTTTTTTTTCAGGACCGTGTAAAATAAATCCTGGAGATTAATTATGGAGCGTTACAACCTCAATCAACGAACCAAACTTATAGAATTTTATTTTGAATATCACCATTCAATAATTCAAACTCAACGAGCATATCGTCGTCATTTCAATTTGCGGAATTCGCCCTCTGAATCAATGATTCGACGCTTAGTGGCACGATTTCAGCAACAAGGCACAGTTATGGATCTCCCACGAAGCGGAAGGCCACGTTCCGCAAGAAATGAAGGGAACATTCAACGCGTTCAGGAGAGTGTTCAGGAGAATCCGGAAACCTCAACCCGAAGACGTTCTGCTGAGCTGCAGATGTCTCAAAGGTCTTTACGCAGAATATTAAGAGGAAATTTACATCTGTTTCCATATAAAGTGCAGCTAGTGCAAGAACTAAAACCAGCAGATTTTCAAGAACGACTAACTTATGCAGTTCGCTTGCAAAGAATGGCTCGAGAAGATAATGAATTTATTCATTCTCTGATCATGAGCGATGAAGCCCATTTTCATTTGAATGGCTTCGTAAATAAGCAGAACTGCAGAATATGGGGTACCGAGAACCCAAGGGTGGTTCATCAAAGGCAATTACATCCGCTTAAATGTACAGTATGGTGCGCAGTTACGTCTCAACGAATTATTGGACCATTCTTCTTCGAAGACCACGATGGGAATGCTGTATCTGTAGATGGCGACCGATATCGTGATATGATTCAAAATTTCTTAAGACCAGCTCTTGCTGACAATCAAACGATGACTTTCCAACAAGATGGAGCCACTGCGCATACTGCTCGAGCCACTATGCACCTTCTAAGGCAGATTTTTGGCGAACGTTTAATTTCGAGAAATTCAGGATTCAATTGGCCCGCCCGCTCGCCGGACTTAACAGCCCCTGATTATTTCCTTTGGGGATATCTGAAAGGAAAAGTGTATATTAATAAACCCACAACCCTGCAGCAACTAAAAGATAATATTCGAGCAGAAGTAAGTGCTTTGGGGCCAGATATTCTGACTCGGGTAATGGAAAATGCTCTTGCAAGAGCTGCACTTTGCGAGGCTGAAAATGGCGGTCATTTGCGTGATGTAATCTTTCACACTTAAATTGTAAACAAACTCCAAACATTGCATTTTAGTTTTGTGTTAGGGAAAAAAATTAAAATTAAAATTTAAAAAAGTTATTAATTTTTCAAATCCCTTCGCGACTTTTGCCCCACCCTGTACCTTAAATTTTGGAAAACCAGGCAAGCAGCCCCTACCTTGTGACGTTCCTCACGTCACTGAACACTGCTGGCCACTGGTTTTCGACCTGAGTGTTTGTGAGCTGAGGACATCTCGGCTGTGCCTAGAGCTGTAACTGGAAGAAGACCATTATCCAGATAAGACCACTGTCCAGATAAGTTTAGGTTTAGGCGTTAAAATGTTTGTAAAGCCTTCGTACGTGTACCATGGTAAACGTTTTGCAGGGTTTAATATCTCGGTCTAATAATTTTATTGTCAGGTATTGTCAACTTGCACTCCAGTGCTGGAGTATATTTGCTGTTTGGTTTGATAATATATTGTGATTCTTTTCTAAATATCTTGTTTTATTTCGCTCTCTGTATACGGTTAATGAGGTTTCGTCATTGCTGTTAGCTTCTTTTCTTTTGTGTGGTGGTCAAGCAAAATAAGTTCCAACTAACATCTCAGGAATTTGTGGCTTAATCCGTCTTGGTCACTGGAGGATTTTTGAGCTTTAGTGTCTAGGCAGGTTTATCATGGAGGCTGGGAAGCCCAAGATGAAGAACAATTAAGACGGCGAATTTACGAAAACTTAGAGAAAAAAATGATCTGATGATAAACCATTTGTTTGACGCGCTATTGCGTACTTTAAGATTCAATAAAAAATAACAACCCAAAGAAGCAAAACTGTGATTTATATCCTATCGAAATATTACAAAAGAAGACTCACCTGGGTCTGCTACACATACTTGCTTGCAGTTCTTGAAGACCGTGTGCATGCAATCTTGGTTAGTGGTACATCGTACATCTGCGTCAAAATAAATAGTTGGACAATACAAAAATTACATATATATTTGTAGAAACATTAGGTATGTGTGGGATTCCACTTCTGTGCAGTTTTAGGAGAATGCCTTGTCTGCCTAAATTCTTTAAAAGTAAGGGTAGGGGTTCACTTTTGGCTCATTCCGACACTGCGTGCCTGACTGTGCCGCTCTTCAGCTCAAAATTATTCCTAGGACTATTTAGTACAAAATTATAAATTAAAATGTATCCTTTCACTAGCGTATCTTTTTAAAGATATACAATTATTTGCATTATTATTGTTTGTGACCTTTAGTCATTTTTGTGACCAACCAATTCAATATCGATATAGCTATAGCTTCAGACACTATGCAGTGAGTATAAGGTCATTATAACAACAGTTATTATTCCATTATATGACGAATAAATGAAAAAAGCAATTATTAAGTAAGACTTTGTTTTAACATGTAACTTACAAGCATTTTTTACTGTAGAGTTGATCATTATTGTTAGATGAAAAAACTTAATTGGTTACTTCGACAAAGTATTGCAAAGTGTACTCTTGAAACATTATTCTCAAGCTTTCGAAAAACTATGTTATCAGGATTTCAGTCTGGGAGGGGTGAAATGGAAAGTAAGTTCTCAGTGTTACGTACTGAAGTGTTATAATGATTTAACATTAAAAGCATGGACATATGCAGACATATGAATTTGCCACAGTAATTTCTGTAGAAAACACATATAATTTTTTTTAATTTTGAATCATACGAAATCAAAGTATAAATAAAGCAAACCAAGCTCGAGCAATCTTTATATATTAAAACAAAAATGCAAAATAATATAATCTATCACAGACTTTTTCTACATAACAATGTCAGACAAAACAACAAAAAATACATCTTCGTAAAAAAATTAACAATAACAAATATGTTACAAAGTATAAATGTAAATCAAAATAAAATTCTTAATCATGAGAAAAACAAAAAATATTCATTGCATAAGTACATTCTCTTAGTCAGTCTCAAAAAACAAAAACATGTAAACTATCAAACTACATCAGTTCACAGTCTAACCTAAGTCTAAAAAAATCATTACATTAGCTTAGAAAGTGATTTGAACAGAATTTGAACAGACTTTTATATCAATCTGCTGCCCAATAAACAAAACCACATATCTTGATTAGATACTTTGGAAAAGATCACCGTGGTAGTTTAAACGTAAGTAAACCCTTAACTACATCTGCTTTTTTATTTATTGGCCATCGGAATATGCTAATCGTACCAACCGCGCAATATCCGCTTCGAACTCCTGCAGGGACTCGCCTGACTTCTGGAACCGATTACTTAATTGAGTATGGCAGACATGTTCTAAATGTGACTGGCCATATCGCATCTCCAAATGTCCTCCTAGTTGTTCACTCTTCGGGTGATATTCTTTGAAGAATAGCTGCAGCATGTCCTCGTATGGTGCGAGGCTCCGCATATCCTTGACCTCTATCTCTTTCCTGGCAAGTATGTCTCTTGCCATATTCGTGACAGCAATCCAGTTATCAAGAGACTGCAGCATCGAGTTGACAATGTTGTCAGGGTGACTTCCTTGCCTAAGCACCGGCTGCACTCTTCTCTATCTACGTCCCATCTGGGACACCTGAGCAGTACAGATAAAACGAGTCGTCGAAAATTGCGGATCTGTTCAGATACGCTTCGAAACACCAGTGCTCTGTCAATAGCTGGGTCAGGTAGAAGTCCACTTCGCCATGCTCCCTATCAACCCATGCCTCTAAGTTTGGTATCAGTGCCCTCGTCCAGCGACCCTTAGTGGTAACTCACCATCGTTGCTGTCAGTTTTTCATCAGTTAATCGTACGCTGCTCGTCTTCCAGAGCTAGTAGGATCTTCATGCATCTGCCTTCTCATTTCCACTGCGAGGTCTATGTGTAGCGTATTAAAAATGACCTCAACCGCCTCAGCCCATCCCGTGCAGTATGCACTACTAATTCGCAACCTTATCCTTCTACTAACTCTCTTCAGCTTGGCTGGATCATGTTTTACCCTCATGGCCCCTTCCCATATGGGTGATACGTATAGTATAACAGAGTAGAACACTGAACCTGAGGTCGCTTTCTTGCTCGCTTGCCGACCTCCAATATTGGGCATCAGTCTAGATAGAAGTGCGACCAGTTTTGCAGCCTTGGTTGCAGTCCTGCTTATATGCTCCCCAAAAGTGAGCCTACAGTCAATCCATACGCCAAGGTATGTCAAAGCCTTCCCTGGTTGAACCTCTTGACCATCTATCAAGAAAGATATTTGCTGAAATTTCCTCTTCTTGGTGATTATCACTGCTTCTGTCTTTTCTGGGGCTAATGACACAGACCTCTGAGCCAACAGCTGACCTCTTCGATGGCTCAATGGCCTGTAATTACGTGTAGATTCTTTTTCGCCACGTCGTCTTCCTGCCTGATGGCCCCTCACGTTACATATAGTACAGAATGCTGGATTATTGCAGTCTTTCGCCTTATGCCCTGGTTTACCGCATATCAGACATAACGTGTAGACCTGTGTGCACCTTGTACTTATCTGAAAGATGTACAAGCATCCAGCACTTCCAGCACCTACTACTCTCGCTACGTGCACGGATCCGGCAGTGGACCAATTCTATGCGAGTTCTCCCTAATCTGGTAAGCTTATCTGCCACTGCAATTGACCCTATTATGGTTGTCTTCTTTCCTTCTCCATAGGCAGGCCTGAGAGATGACAGTCTGAAGTCATTCTCTTTTTGACCTAACACACCATTTATGGCTTCCATTACCTCTTCCTCAGTAGTGGTACTGTCAAAGCCTGCTACGTGCTACTTTTATTTAGTGTCTTCACTTCGCTTACCTGTTTATTTATAGCCTTGTTTAGTTCTTCAGCCTTGACCTTTCCAACTTCTAGCAGGAGGTCTCCATTACGAGTGTTACGCAACTTTGAGATTTCCACCTCTACATTTTGCAAATTCACTTCTGCATTCAGACTCTTCACTAGATCTGCATAAGACTTGCCGTCATTTTTTACAATCACCCCTTCCCTCTCGTTGGCACTACGTCTCATCTTCGCATTACGTGCCTTTTCTGACCTTTTCTGGCCTGTTATGATGAGTTATATACGCTTGGTCTCTCTTTGACCTAGTTTCTCTTGTGTACATAGTTACATACCACATCGGTTTTCCGGAAAACGAATTCTAGTATCTCCACTAATTCATCAGTACCGGTTTGAAAACTGAGAAAACAACAACTATGCCGTAAGTTCGACAACGACAGTCTGAAAAAAACCCCTACCCCTATTGAGCGGGGCCGTGGCAAATCCTTGTTCCGGAAGTCGTTGTATCCAGTATAGAACTTCTTCCCGTTCAAGGTAAGGAATACCTCAGTACGGTTTGCCGGGTGGCGGTACAAGTCCGCCAACGGGTCACTTTAGGTCTATTTGATATCATTAACACGCAAAAAGAAGGTCGTAGACAAGGACCAGTCGACCGAGGAGGTACCGCCCGCTAGCTTTTCCCAGGATGTCTTATAAATGTCCGCATGTTTCCACACCTAAGCTATGCAGCGGTTATCTTCCAAAACAAAGAAATTGATGATGGTGGATCCCTCGAGTACTAAGAATTCTGGATGTAAACTCACACCATTCTCGGAATGGATGGGTGGAGGGTGGACTCGAGGGAACACCGAAGATAAAATTTGTTTCGCAAACATCTGCGGGATTAACAGCAACATTGATGCTGTACATCACTACTTGCAATCCAGTCGTTGTCCTCTTTGTCCGCAGCAGTCTTTCCTGCTGCAGACCGGAAGGATTCTGTGGCTTCGCCTCAACTCCAAAACATCCCGCAAATTTATTTGCTGCCTTTATCGCTCTCCCTCGGACCATAACTGGGATGACCTTCTTGAATACCTCACAGTCAAGATCGACTTCCTAAACATCGACCACCTCGCTTCAGCAGTTGAAGCGTTCGCTCTTACTGAAGGGCTGACCCAGCTGGTGACGAGCCCTACTTTTTTCCCCCGCGTCTCGTCACACGCCAGTAGCCTGCTGGATCTCTTTCTGACCACGCATCCTGTCCCTTACAGCACTGCTGTCCTGTCCCCCCTGGGTAGCTCAGACTACGGTGTTGAGGAGGTTAGGTTTCGGTCAGAACCCGCTGTGGCAGCAGAAACTCGCACAGGCCGCAAAATTTGTCATTACGGACATGCCGACTGGGAGGGGCTCAGAGACTTCTTTTCTACCTTTCCTTGGAGAGATATCTGTTTCACTGACGAGGATGTGTCGGCTGTCTGTTCGTCGATAACCAAAATTATCCACGTCGGAATGGAGGAATTCATCCCTCATACAGAGAAAGTGCCGAAACCAGGGTCACAGCGCAATGGCAGTTAGTCTTTCTGGACGCTGGCCAAGCAGATTGAAAAGAAACTCTCACACAGCAGCCTTTCACCACTTATATGTCAAGATGGAACGATTGTATCGGACTAAAAGGCCAAGGCGGAAGTCCTTGCCAAGATCTTTGCTGCCAACTCCACCATGTACGGTGGTATAAGACCGTAAGATGAGTGCTCTTCTCGCTCGACATCAACAAAGCCTCTGGACCGGACTTGATTCCTGCCATTGTACTGAAGAGGTGTGCAGCGGAGCTTGCTCCAGTTTTTTCGCGTCTCTTCCAGATACCTTATGAATCTTACACCTTCCCAGAAAACTGGAAATCCGCTTATGTCTAACCCATCCTAAAAACGGGATCTAAGACCGACCCTTACAACTACAGGCCAATAGCTTTGCATTCTCTTATAAGTAAGGTGATTTAGAGGTGCCTAAATCGCGAGCTTCTGGACTACCTCGAACGTCACAGCTTGATTAGCGACAGGCAGTATGGTTTCCGGCACCAGCGATCCACAGGGGACCTGTTAGCTTACGTCAGGCAATTGTGGAGTAAACTCATCCAGTCTTATGGTGAGGCTTGTGCCGTTGCTCTTGACATC